CCACGATGAAAGTTTCATAATCCCTAAGAGAAGATGACCAAAGATGGGTGCAATGGGAGAGCAGATCACCAGTAGATCTCGCCTGACAAAAGCCATACTGGTGATCCGACAAAAGAGAAAGGCGTTCAAGGTGACGGAGAAAATGGGAGTTCAAGATAGTTTCGAAAATCTCAGAAAGGGATGAAGTTAGGGCAATGGGGCGATAGTTAGAGGGATTAGAATGGTCACCCTTCTTCGGGATGGGCTGAACCAAGGCATGCTTTCAAGAAGAAGGAAAAGTTTGGGTTTTGAGGCAGAGGCGAAAGAGGCGAGCAAGCATGGTAGCCAGAGCTTCAGCACACTCCCTCAGAACACGAGGGGCTATTCCGTCTGGTCCATGCACCTTACTCACATCCAACCTGGATAACACACCGGCAACCCTGAGAGTGGAGATTTTAGGAAAGTGCATAGGTTCAGTAGGAGGAGCAGGGGTAGGAGGGATAGAGTGGGAATCGTCTAAGGTGGAATTAGAGGAGAATCAGGTGCCAAAGAGGTTGGCTTTGTCAGGGGGAGAGTTGGCTATAGAGTTATCAGGTCGGAAGAGAGGAGGAAAAGAAGGAGTGTAGAAGTTATTACAGATGTTTTTGGTTAGGGACCAGGAGGATTTACTAGAGGAAGAATTAGTCAGGACAGCGGCCTTTCTTTTCATAAAATTCCGTTTGGCTCTACAAAGAATAGCCTATCAACAATTCCTAGAAGTAATGAAAGAAGTGTGGGTAATAGGAGACGGAGATACTTTCAGAGCTCGATATTCCCTATCTCTCACCCTGCAAGCAAGAGAGCACATACCGATGCGTCCCGAGTGGAAAAGCAACATTCATCCCAAGGAAAGTCGGTGAAGAATTCTCGCAAGGATTGCCAGTTAACGTTTAGAGGGGAGGTGGGGGGGGGAGGTGATCGTGCCCAGTTTGATTTAATAGAGATAAGACTGTGATCAAAAGACCCTAAGGAGGCAGAAATTGAGTATGAATAGTGTGAGGAGTTAGAGGTAAAACAAAGGTCAAGAATGTTAGCAAGTTGATCGTGTCGATCAGGAACGTGTGTACGGTGTTTGATTATTTGTTCCAAATCATTAAGTAGGGAAAAAGAGAGTGCCTCAGCTCCACCTGGGTCATCCCTTGCAGAGCCAAGCCACTCTCTGTGATGTACATTGAAATCCGCTAGGTAGAGGATCTCGGTGTTGGGGTGTGTGGATAGCAACGACTCATGGCAAGAAGTGAGATAGTCAAAGAGGTAAACTTCACCACGAATTATTCTTCTACCTATAGCCTTCCTTTGTCCAATAATATTCTTTAAATAATTATTTATCCAATTTGGGTCATTGTTGTCTGACCTGAGTTTTCTGTATGGTATGTTCTGCCTTTGTGCATTAAGTAATTCATTATTTTAATTGTTGAGGAACTCCTCAACCTCAGATCTCGTGATCAGGTCATCCTCAACCGTCATATTTTGTGAGGATATTTTTGTCAGGTCTTCAGGTAAAGTGAGGTCGCCCTCTGTGGGTATGAGGTCACCCCTCACGTGAGGTCATGTAATCCATCCCCAAACATGATACCCCTTCTCTCAGCTGCCTTTTCAACCTATCAAAGTTTACCCTTCTGAAATCTGGGACTTTAATGGAATTTTCCTTGCATCTGCCATTAAATTCTAATTGAAATCTTATTTCTTTGTGATCGCTGTTGGCAAGTTCGTTCCTTACCTTGACATTACTAATGAGGTTTTCTCTGTTTGACAGAACTAAATCGATTATATTATTACCCCAGATGGGTTAAGTTATTTGTTGACTTAGGAAACAGTGCTGAACTGTTTCAAGAAAATCCTCTGATTCTGAGTTACCTGTAAGGTCGATCCCATCTATTTGGCTAAAGTTAAAGTCGCCTACTATACAGACTTTGCTATGTCTGGAAGCCCTGCGCATATCATCACAAATAAGTCGTTCATTAACTCTATCAAGATTAGGAGGTCTATATATTATTCCTATGATTAATTTTTCTCTTCCATCGATTAATTCTATCCAAATTGTTTCTGTATTCAGTTCAGTTCTTATTTCCTTATTTATTTCACACTTCAGATTATCCCTGACGTAGATTGCTACTCCGCCTCCTTTCCTAATCTGCCTATCGGTATGGAATAATTTGTAACCTGCAATTAGATATTCGACAAGTAACACTCGTTAGTCTAGGTTTATCCATGTTTCCGTGAATGATGATATATCGATTTTTTCGGTACATACCAACGCCCTGATTTCCTCCATATTATTTCTCATACTCCTACTGTTTGCATTGTCGGCATTTACGTTAGTCTTGTTCTGTGTCCTCTCTTTGACACGTTTAGGTTTTAACTCCCTCCCTGCCAACATAAATAAATTTGCTGATGACACTAAAATAGGACGTGCAATTAAATCTGATGAGGACTCCGCAAAACTACAGGAAGATCTAAACAAATTTTTCTGAAAAATGGCAGATGAAATTCAATGTGGACAAATGTAAAGTACTCAGTATAGGAGACGTAAACAGGGAAACCAGTTACCAGATGAACACGATGCCATTGTGAAAGCCGACTGCGAGAGATGTTTAGGAGTAATAAATGATAAATAGGAATCTTAAGCCAAGTAAACAATGTGTTCATACATAGGAGTGTTAGTTACAAGACTAGCGAGGTCATCTTAAGATTATAGCTTGCACTTGCACTTGTGGATTACGCAGTTCAGTTCTGGTCACCGTATTATAAAATGGATATAGAATCCTTGGAAAGAATCCAGAGGAGAATGACAAGACTAATCCCGGGCATTAGGAAACTTGAGTACAGAGACAGGTCAAAGCATCTTAATTTGCACTCCCTCGAGAGACGTAGAGCAAAGGGCGACATGATAGAGGTGTATAAATAGAAGTCAGGGCTAAACAAAGGGGACATTACAAAGGTACTCAAACTATCCAACCAGGAGCGAACTCCCAACAATGGTTTTAAATTAGACAAATTTAGATCTAGGAGCGAAATAGGTAAACACTGGTTTGGAAACAGAGTAGTGGATGAATGGAACAAGTTACCAAATATCATCATTAACTCGAATACGCTGGATAGCTTCAAACATAGGTTGGATGCTTATATGAGCAATAGGGGTTGGGTGTAAACGGGCCTGCCCTGTATGGGCCAATAGGCCCGCTGCAGTTTCCTCCATTCTTATGTTCTTATGTTCTTATTTTCTTATTTAGTTTTGTCATCATTTCCTACCCCATTTCCTTGTAACCTTTCACTTTATTTACCCACTCCCACTGCAGTCTCCTCCGCCTCCGTGCATGTTCATCAAGTAAGTCCTCTTTCGATCTGAGACATTGTATAGATAGAGCGGTAAAGAATTTAGAGGTACAGGTAGTTTATAAGAAACTCCTTTTTGCAGGAGAGTAAAGACCCCACAAGTCGGATAACTGATAATTAATTCACGGCAGATACTGACATGACCGGCGAGCGAGCAGTGGTCTCTGATGCCTAACTAACTGGACTAGCAGACGTAGTTAGGGATGGTCAACCTGGTTCACCCTAATCTTCGCATATCGATGCATACAACATGTGCGGGGGATTTCTCACCAAATCAGCTAAGAACACGTTCATCAAGTGGGAATTAGAACTCCTTTCTAGCTGGGACAGGGTCCACCTGGTTGTACTGTAACCTGGCCTAACTAGGCTTGATTGATGGTCGCTCTTTTCCCTACTATAAAGTAATGGGAGTGAGCCAGCTTTGGGTGCAGAATGAGTGAATGAAGGGTCAAACTCTGGGAGCCAGAAGTTCCCATGGTACTAGTGAGCGCAAATTTTCCTGGGTGCTAATGGTTACTCGGAACATTTACCTCTCCAGCTTTGGGTGTAGTTGGGTTGTCTAGCCAAGTTTTGGTTTGAAGTCAACGACCCTATGGTTGATCGCACACATGGCACATATGAGTTCCCCTTAAAGAATTATTTGGTGCTGTAGTATTTTGAAGTAATGGTGTATTCTGGACAATTGTTGTGAAGAATGTTACGAGTTTTGGTGGTGAAATGCACTCATGACTCATAAACCTAGAAGTAGAATAAAGAAAATCAACGGAAAAGTCGCCTGCCTGACGGGTCATGTGTGATTTTCTAGGTTAAACAGACTTTTAGAGCTTTGCTGTGGGTGCATGCCCTTGGGCAGGTTAGTAGTTACAACCTTCGGGTTTTGTGCATTTAAGATAGTTAGAATTAATATTATTTTGTGGGTCATTATCCCAGTCAATGCAATGCTTATTATCTCTCCTATAAATGAACAGAGCATTGGATTCCTGGCCTGTCCTAACACTATATTTATGCTGGTCATTTTTTTGATTAAGAAGATTAGTAAGGGTCACTGCCTTATGACCGGAACATTGTGGACTCCTGCTCTTCCCTAGGGACTTGATCTCACTCTCCTCCAATCTATATATTTACCTTGTCAAGTATTACTCCATAGTCTATACTCACCCCTGAAAATGTGAATTACACGAAACCGTTTGGGAACTTAGTGTTTTATTGTTTCCTTGTGGTTATCAGCATATACAGTATATATATATATATATATATATATATATATATATATATATATATATATATATATATATATATATATATATATATATATATATATATATATATATACATATATATATACACACACTGAGCTAATATTGTAGTAGATATAAGCATCTAGTGAAAGATTTCACTGAACAAAACATTTACACAAATACAGCCTCCTCCGGGTCCTGGTGAAGAACACAACAGTAGAGTGTTGAGAGGCATTTGTCAATATCAGATGAAAATTCGAACAGATGATCATTGTTTTAAGGTTAAATTTGCTGGTAAAAATAGGTATAATGGAGCAAAATAACGGTATTGGGAAAATTTTCATGTATACTAAACAATTGAGAGGTTTCTTGAATATACGATAGTTGTTAATACAACACATCACTTACCGGGAGACTTGGTCTCGTTGGGGACGATACAACGGATGAAGTGAGGGTGAGTAGAGTTGAGGGTCCTCATCAGGTTGTTCAACTGGTCCTGTGGGAGAATATTATCATGAAGTCAAGATGAAATATTACATATTGCTTATACATTTTTAATCACATTATAGACAAAGAAATTTACTGAAATTGCTACGGTGGTTTTAAAAAAGATTTAGAGAAGGAAAAATCTAATTAAAAATGAAACACTGGGTTTGTCCCGTGTAGATAAAATATACATGGAGTATAATATAGTGTACACGTAAAGCTCCTTTTAAAAACTTTTGGATATTTAATGACCATTTTCATTTCCTGGCAAAACCAATTGTATATTCAGTAATTTACAAAAAATTGGACTGGTAAACCGATTGCTACAATGACCTGAACTACACAGTACTAGTTTATGTTAGATGCTTAACGAGAAATAATTATTGTTTTCAGTAACTGAAGTGCATTGATTGTAAACTGAACTGTGGGGATACAAGGTTGTGTCTCTATAACAAACTTAACTCGTCATTCAGTTTATCCTTCTCACGACACTTGGCATTAATACACAGTGTTCATGAATATATTTACCATAAACTAAGTAAACATACCTTATACCCAGACGACACAGTCTTAAAGCCACCAGATTTCTTTGCACCTGTTAAATCATAAAGAGTTTAGGGGCAATTTTATATATAATAAATAACGTATTGTACATGCAAAGTGTCTCGAAAGCAATATATATTATTTTAACTACACGTATATACATTTACTTTATAGCAGGCAATCCACCTCCGGATAAGGCAGACCTCAGTAAGGAAATTGGTTAGGTTTCGCCTCTATCTTGGCTGGATAGTTTTTCCCGGTTAGTCATCGAATTATATACTATAAAAAACAAATGCTCACACCCTATTTAGGTTCTCCTTACTACTCACAGACAGAGAATACTCTAGATTGTTTTGGTGGTCAAGAAAATGCTTAACATTCAGAAAAGGATTAGATATATGTATTGATTCTACGAAGAAAAATGTGTGGTAGGGATTATAAGGAAACTACGAGCATATATGTTACCTGTACTATTATTGATCATGGGATGTAGGAAGCTCAGTGTGTGTAAGATAAGTGATGGAAGAAAAAAATAAAACAACTACCCCCCCAAAGGAAGACACAGAAGGAGAAATAATATACACGCACGCATTTACACTCATTACAGCATGGTAGTATATATAGTAACTCCTTAACCTCCTCATTTATTTACAATATTTCATATTATGTTACTGTATATATCAGGTTGAGTCATCAGTGGTGGTTACAAGTGTTCCCTGAAGAATGCAGTGATGGGTAGGGAAACACCGTGTAACACTGAAGTCCGTTTATTATGGATGAGAGAAATACAAGTGGTGACTCGCGTGTGCCATGCACGGCTCACACAGTCAGACTGAGGCTGCCTTGCCATATGGCAGCCTCGGGGCAATGTTGCCACATAACGTGCAGTGTTGCCACGTGATAATATATATAAATGCTACTCGGCACAGTAGCTTATATACAGGGTTGCTACTCGGCACAGTAGCTTATATACAGGGTTGCTACTCGGCACAGTAGCTTATATACATAACCTACATCTCCCTCCCCCCTCACGCTCATAGTCTTTGTCTTGAGCGGACCTCTTAGTCCTAATTCGCTCTGAGCGTCGAGGTGCACTGTGGGGCGGATCCTCGTGAGGTGTAGGTGACTCGTCCTCGGCCAGGGGGCCAGCAGCAGGGGGTGGGACTGGCCGGAGGAAGCGGCGGTTCCTCCACCAGACACGGCCGCTCGGCATCCTGACCTTGTAGTCCCGCGACCGGCCGACGCCCATCACTATGCCTACCTTGTCCCAACGTGTCGTCGTCGGGTACTGGACGCGGACAAGGGCACCAATCTCCACTGGCTGAAGAGGGCGGGCACGGTCGTCATACCGAGCCTTGGCGTCCTGGGCACGTGTAGCAGCACGGCGGTCGCAGCTCTCGGCTCTGGTCTGCCAGTTCTTCGCAAAGGCCTTGGTGTGTGCAGGAACGCAAGAGCGGAGAGGGTGACCATACAGGATCTGGGCAGGGGAGCGTCCTGTGTGGGTGGGAGTGGACGCGGGTTCTGGGCAGTTCTGTGTGGCAGCACCAGGCGCGTCGCTCGTTGATTCACGCACCCTGCTGGCGGTGTACCGAGCAGCTGGGATCTGCTCGGGAAAGTCTCTGGGCACCACGCATAACTCCTTGAGGTGCTCCCACGACAACAAGGGTGTAGCGAGAGTAGGCTGCACGTCGATCCATCCATGACACAACCTGTCGCCGTAGGTGATCTCTGCTTGAAAGGAGCCCACAGCGTCCGGCATCTGGGAACCGTCCGCATTGTAGTACAGCAGCTGCGGCGGTGGTCCCAGGTCACGTTTGGTGAGGCCCTGTTTCTGGAGATGCTTCAACCCAATCACCGTAGTATCGGCGCCGGTGTCCGGTATCACCTCGATGTGACCCGACACATCACCGTGTGTGATGGCGACGCGGATGGTGGGGGAAGGGGTAGCCCTGGGGCGTGTGGTCGATTCCACCCTCCTGATGTGACTCCGCTGCTGCCTGGGGCTGCGTGGGCCATCTGGAGGGGGCTGCGTGCGAACCAACCCGAGGGAAGTGCGCTGCTTTCCTCCTCGTCTCGGGCTTTTGGGCTTGGGATGGCGGCAGCACTTGTCGTAGTGTCCATAGCGACCGCAGGCCTGACACTTGTGGCCTCGTGCAGGGCACCTGTCTGTGTTAGACCAGTGGCCCTTACGGTCACATCCACGACACAGGGCGTCGGCGGCCGGGCATGTCTTGGGGCTGTGCTGCTTTCCACAGTTGCCAAAGGAAGCACTAGGCGGAGGTGTGGAAGAACGTGTGGCAGCCTTCGCGTTGTTGGCCGCCTTCTTACCCTTCTTGTATTGTGAGATAACTCTCACAGCAGGTGGGGCCCGTAAGGCAGAGGTGGCGGACTTGGTGGCCTCGTATGACCGACATTCAGTCACTACCACCTGGAGTGTGGAGGAAGCGTCCAGGGGGATGAGTCGCTGCACCAACTCTTCCTGCCTGACACCTGTCAAGATCCCGTGCTTGATCCAGGCTTCCTCACATTCCCGGCTGTGCGCCTTGCAGACGTCGATCTCCTCTGACAAACTCTTCAAGCGTACAAAAAAGTCGTCAAAGGATTCGTTCTCCGCCTGCTTGCAGCTGGTGAAGGCACGGCGACGCAAAGCCTCGTTGTTCCGACCCTTAACATGCTCCTGTAAAAGGTCGAGCACATCCGTCACTGAAGAGGTAGAATCGGGAGGCACTTGCAACGTGTGCTCCAAAACTCTCTGGGTCTCCAGCGACAAACACATCCGCAGTTGGATGAGCTGTTTGTTTGGAGGCATGCTGTCAAGGTCCACCATCGTGGAGTAATCTGTCCAACGCCGCCTCCACTCACGAAAAAGCTGAAACGTGACGTCTGGTGAGAGGGCGGGTGGGGGTTGAACAGATGCCTTGGGAGCTGTTTGTTTGGAGGCAAGAGTACCTGGAGGACGCTGGTGTGGTGGAGGAGGGAGTGTACTGGCGCCTTGAAGCGCGCTACCTGCGAGTGAGGGAGGGTGGGTTAGCGCCAGGGTCGCCAATAGTGCCTCAAAACGCAACTTTTCCTCCTCTCTTCGTGTCTCCTCCCTCTGAAGTTCCATCTCTCTGCGTCTCTCGTCCCGGTCGTCCATCCACCTCAGAATTGTGGCAATGTCCGTCACTGGAGGTGGAGGGTGAGAGTCTGCGCCCGGTGGAGGGGAAGGTGGTGGGGAGTCGTGTCTCCCATCTTGACGTTGTCCCTTCTTACCTCCCATCTTTGTGTGTGCGTGGACTGCACTGTTTAGTATATAAAGTGGCGCCTCAACAGCTCGAACCACATATATATGACATAAACAGCGCAGAAATAACGCATATAGTCCACTGTTCTGTCCGTGAGTGAGTGCGTGCGTGTGTGCGTGTGTGTGTGTCTGAGAGAGCACTTCGTGGTGGCCTTAATGCCGGTGGCTGAGACGCGGCGCGGGAGTGAGACCGTCAGTGTCTCCCGGGATGTCACACGAGAAGGGTGTACGCCTGCGTGCTCCGTGGGTACCACAAAAAACAGGCCAATGCTCAACTCTCAGCTCTAGACACACACTAATACACTGACACTAACACTGCCACCGTCACTAAAACGCACTGTGACGGAGCAACACTGCACATCGCGGCGAAACACAGCGCAACACAACACAACACACTATGAGTCGACGCATCACCGGCAGACGTAACTGTCTCGGCATAGTTCACACACTTTGTAAGTCCACAGATCCTAGCCACTGCGCCATGGTGGTTACAAGTGTTCCCTGAAGAATGCAGTGATGGGTAGGGAAACACCGTGTAACACTGAAGTCCGTTTATTATGGATGAGAGAAATACAAGTGGTGACTCGCGTGTGCCATGCACGGCTCACACAGTCAGACTGAGGCTGCCTTGCCATATGGCAGCCTCCGGGCAATGTTGCCACATAACGTGTAGTGTTGCCACGTGATAATATATATAAATGCTACTCGGCAGAGTAGCTTATATACAGGGTTGCTACTCGGCACAGTAGCTTATATACATAACCTACAATCAGGTCCTTTATGCTAACACGAACGAAACGACTCCGCTGTACATGATCCAAATTAATTATTTTCCCAGCATTATCTATTGTGCCATCTCTACACCTCACTAATTCATTCTCGGTATGTTTATTTGTTTTACTTTCGTGCCTTAAGCTGTTATGTCATATTACATTCTTACCAATCTTTCACCTGATAGGCGTTACCCACGACCATACCGTCTTAGGGAGTTTCTCATTCCAAATAGTCTTATATCTTCGTTCAGTTCTCTTAACTTCCATAATATTTTCTAAGTTGTCCCTCTCTCCTGCTTTCATTTTTCTTCTATTAATATACTGAAACGCCAGATTTTTTCATCCATATATTAGAGTTGGAACAGACATTCCTGAAGATAATCTCCTTACACACTTTACACCCAACGATTTTCATTGGTTCCACTGGTTTTTCGTCACTTATAAAGCTCCATTAATAACGTATGCCTTTCTTTTTTCTCAAATACCTTGATTTTACACATAATCTAAGCCTCATTTATATCCACTGTGACAATGCATTGAAGTTGTCTTTCCCTTTCGAACACCTTAACTGCTCTTTCTAGTTTGTGGTTAAAAGATGAGTAATGAGTATTGGCCTTAAACATGGGACTGATAATATAGACAACAGTGGATAAAAAAGTATGGTAATATACTGTATGGAAGAATGTGAAAATGCCGTAGAATATGTTCTGGGTATATAATGTATTTGGAAAACCCTTAACAGTGGTAAAGTAATTAATAAAGAAAAAGCTGTCTCGATAATAATTAAGGGGATAAAAATGTGGAAATTGAATCTTTACAAAAAATGCACAAGACGACGTAATGTTTTAGTGCTGGTAAATTACGACACATCATATCAGTTATGTATGACAGTAACTGGCGTTAAACTACTCACCCTTGGCATCACCACTTCCAGACTGGCCGGGATGGTCAGCGAAGATCGTAACGACAAGTTCGTTGCTGGACGTCTTGAGCTGGTCAACAACAGTGTCATTGAGGGGATCCTTGTTCTTCTCGAGCCAGCCACTCAGGTTGTAGCTGACAGTACCAGCGTAGTGAACAATGGCGAAGTGAGAATCAGGCTGACCAGGCTTTGGTGGCTTAGGTTTGATGAACACAGGAGATTTGCCAAAGTGGTTAGAGTTTAACTTCTCCTGGAAGGACTTGTCAGTAGCCTTAGGGAACATGGATTCTTCCTCAAGGATGGAGAGCAGACCCATTTTCTGTCGAGATGTAATAATGATGATAATATTAGTAACGATGAGCATTGGTATTTGATTTCGAAAATTGTAGCAATGGTTATTTTTTACTTTTCCGTGCAGCCAGTAACACCAACAGCTGTTGTTTCCAAAAGAACCGTATATAACAGCTGAAACTATGCCACAGCCTCACATGGAATGCGAAATAAACCAGACTTGTAAGACAGAAATAATCTAAATTAACAAACGTAGAAAAGAAAGTAATAAGACAGCTGAAATATAAGTTTAGAATTACCTGTTTAGGCAACATTTAAAGACTACAGAACATGTTTATGGGTTAAGGCGTGTGCAGGGCAGGGGTAAAAAAAAAAAAAATATGAGGAAGATGTTCTTATACTGGTTGCTTCAACAGCGTACTGACATGAGTATGAAAGAAAATTATTTTACTTCATAACTACAGTACTGTGTTATCATGGTTTGACTTCATCAGAATACAGATTATAGGAGTTCAGGTAAATCAATAAGGGAAATTACTGACTGACATATATAATGGTGCCTGAAAGTGAGAATTGCATTATTGTTGAAGCATAAGACATTCAAATTTATATCTGTCGAGACGTGTTAAAAGATGATTGGAACGAGTCTTCACCATTCTAAGAAAATTGAACTCCATGTTAGGATCAACATGGATATATAAAGAATAACTTTATAAGAGTCAAAATAGCATCGACTTCGAAAACAAATTAAATTAATACACTTATTTTTAATTCATCTCTCTCTCTCTCTTCTTCTATATATATATATATATATATATATATATAAGGAGAGAATATGTGTGTGTGTCTGTTTGTTTGTGTGTCAGCGCAGAATCTCGGAAAACTACTTTATCGATCTGTAGTGATGATGGATGGTGTTATATGTAGTGATAATGGATGGTGTTATATGTAGTGATGATGGATGATATTATATGTAGTGATGATGGATTGTGTTATATGTAGTGATGATGGATGGTGTTATATGTAGTGATGATGGATGGTGTTATATGTAGTGATGATGGATGATGTTAAATGTAGTGATGATGGAGGATGTTATATGTAGTGATGATGGATGGTGTTATATGTAGTGATGATGGATGGTGTTATATGTAGTGATGATGGATGATGTTTTATATAGTGATGATGGAGGTGTTATATATAGTGATGATGGATGGTGTTATATATAGTGATGATGGATGGTGTTATATGTAGTGATGAGGATTGGTGGTATATATAGTGATGATGGATGGTGTTATATTTAGTGATGATTCATGATGTTATATATAGTGATAATGGATGATGTTATATATAGTGATGATGGGTGGTGTTATATATAGTGATGATGGATGGTGTTATATGTAGTGATGATGGGTGGTGTTATATGTAGTGATGATGGATGGTGTTATATGTAGTTATGATGGATGGTATTATATGTAGTGATGATGGATGATGTTATATATAGTGATGATGTATGGTGTTATACATAGTGATGATGGATGGTGTTATATGTAGTGATGATGGGTGGTGTTATATACAGTATAGTGATGGATGGTGTTATATGTAGTGATGATGGATGGTGTTGTATGTAGTGATGATGGATGATGTTATATGTAGTCATGATGGATGATGTTATATGTAGTAATGATGGATGGTGTTATATGTAGTGATGATGGATGGTGTTATATGTAGTGATGATGGATGGTGTTATATGTAGTGATTGTGGATGATGTTATATGTAGTGATGATGGATGGTGTTATATGTAGTGATGATGGATGGTGATATAGGTAGTGATGATGGATGATGTTATATGTAGGGATAATGGATGGTGTTATATGTAGTGATGATGGATGGTGTTATATGTAGTGATGATGGATGATGTTATATGTAGTGATGATGGATGGTGTTATATGTCGTGATGATGGATGGTGTTATATGTAGTGATGATGGATCATATTATATGTAGTGATGATGGATGGTGTTATATGTAGTGATGATGGATGGTATTATATGTAGTGATGATGGATGATGTTATATATAGTGATGATGGAGAGTGTTATATATAGTAGGGTGTGTCATACGGAGGCGAATTTTTTTTTGAGTTTGAAAAATCGGCCCATGGTATTAATGATGTAGTTCTATGTGCAGAATCATGTGATATCTTCAGATTTGAAAAGTTTTCTTTTTGTGCTAGGTAAATTTTGACGAAATCTTATGAAAATTCCAGTATTCCACCCTTTTACCAACACCACTAAATATATTTAAAGTAAAATAAAATATATCAGGTTATTCATTAGGATGAAAATGATCCAGAGCAGTGAAACGAATGATCTTGACACATTTATTAAATTATATTCCTTTAGAAAACAAAATCATCCAAATACAAAACCGGTTTACTACTACGACCAGTGTTGCTGCACACCATAGAGAGACATGTCTTTCTTGCTTCTGTTTCTCATCACCTCCCAACTGACCACCACCTGAACTCCGGATGCCTTCCCTCCTCTCCTGGCTGTACCGCGTGACTGCTGGCCTCGCTCACTTGCTGTACACAAGCAGCTCTATACTCTGGGTGTGCAGGAGCCAGGCAGGGACATCCTGGGGTTGTCCAGGAGCTCTGACTTGAACAGTGGTGAGGCTGCAGGTGGGGGGCTCACTGCCAGCCTGGATGTTATCCAGATCTATGAGATCAGTGAGGGTCTTGGCACCTAGATTGACTTCAGGAGCCTTCCTGACCCTGAAGGAATCGTCACCAACTGATTAGTCACTTCTTAGATCTCTCATAAGTCTCATATCAAAGATCTTTTTGACTGCCACTCTCTTCTCTCCTCCTCATCATACTGCAGAGCATTGTCTGCAAGAACTGCCTCCAGATTAGGCATACCCAGGGAAGATCTCACAGTCTACTCCACAATCTGAACAACCTTCCTTGGCTGACTCCTCAGGAGCTCAAAGCTGGAAGAAACATGCCCTCAGACTTCGGAGAACAATGAAGCTTGACAGTGTTGAACCAATTTGGCAAGTAGAACACTTTCACAATGAATTGGACAATAAGTCTCAGGTTGTGACTGGTTTCCTTTCAGTTTATGATGAGCATTAAATTCTGCAGAACCTGAGCCGTTGTGAGCCACCTAGAATGTGAGACTGGACCTATCTGCAGGTAAGCAAGTCTATCGAGCGCGGCCCAGTTTGATGGCACTGCAAATCATGTAACCATAGTGCTGAATTGGCAGTACTCAGGTCGTCATGTTAGTAATATGCAAGCTCAGAGTGGAGGCCAACTAATTTTTTCCAAGCTCAGATTTATTTCTAACTCAGTGGCAGGAGTCAGCATCTTGCCAAGAGGACCAGACCATCTGTTGTTTGAAGAAGTCTTGCCATCAGCTCCTGGATCAGATGTCTGAGTGGCAACTCTTGGTGTGGAGGTCACAAACAATCCAGACCAACTTCTCCCAATCTTCCACTCTATCCACTGTATGACCCCCTTGCCACCCCTGTGTTCGTGTTGGTGCTGTCCTCTCCAATGGCCTGCAGGGTCTGGTCTACGTTCCTCTCTCTGAGCCAGTTCACAATGTTATCTGCCACTATCTCAGCTGGTTTCCTGATGTCATCTTTCTCTGGGTGAAATACCACAAATACTTCCTCCTGGTTCACTGCAGCAGGGTAATTATCTCCTTCACCATGGCAGGGAACAACTTGTCAGAATCTCCAACTTTCATGAACACTTTAGTGTCATCCCTTCTCCCATCCAAAGAACAAACAATTGATTCCATTTCTCTTATCTCATATCAAACTCCTCTTCTAGGTTGCGACAAGTTTCTCCTGAGCTCTCCTTGCTTTGTTACATGATCTATCACCAGGTGAACATCATCAGGTGTTATCAAGCCACCGTCCCAATCCAGGCAGCTGTTGCTATCTCTACGGTTTCTCTGAGACCAGTGTGGTGTCGCATGCTGTAGAGCTATGCTCAGGATATCTTTCTATTTCAGATCTCTTATGCCTGGAAGGTTTTGGGATCATTATTTTTCGGGGTTAGGGACAAAGTCACCATTCTCTAGTCAGCACTCGGATCAGCCATGGGGAAGTCATTAAACTCTGGATGAGCTTAACTCCAATCATCGGCCTTTTTACCTCACCCTGGGCCTTCTCAAGTCTCTTTTTCCTCGGCAACTCTTCTCCTCTTCTGTCTCTCTGTCGTAGCCTCACAGCTCTCTTGGACTCCGGAATATCTTGGCTAGAAATCATGAGAGCCCTATACTTGATCTTCTCTCTCTGTTTGACAAATGCCAGTTCGATCTCACAGGAATCTTCAGTTCACGCTTACAAATACAGGAGATGTGGGCCTCAGTTTACAGTCACGATCACGCATCAAACTCCAGGACAGAGAACAATTGAGCACTTGCAAATAAATTATGTCAAATAACTGGTCAGTTAGCAGCAAGCTGTCCTTAACTGCAAGTTTTTCCTCTCCCAAGAGATATCTCTTGCCTTTTCCCAACTGGCTAGCAGTCTCCTCACTAATCTTCTTCTGACTTGTTATGACCCTGGAGGCTTGAACTGAAGCGTTAGCCAGAGTGTACTATGCCCAAGACAGCTTTGGTCATATCTGGCAATACTCTTTGTTTGTGTAAGTTCTTTGGTTCTTTTCACTGATTTGCACAATTAAAACACCGTATCTCAAAGCATCTCTCAATGGCAGGCAACTCCGACTTCAGGGCTCTCTCCCAGACCCAAAGGAATGGTGAGCTGAGATGGCTGGATTTTTGGTTCCTCGTCCTGACACAAGCAGCCATCGCAAATATTATCAACTTATAAATGCATCAAGATCTGAAACAGAAAAAATATTGTTAGTTGGGTTGTTAAAGAATGAAGTCAGAAAGCTGATGTTCACTATTTAATTGTAATGCACTAATGCAGCTGTACGTTAGATTTTCGATAAATTTCACGCTAAAAATTTACCTAGCAAGGTTGCAAAATATTGAAACTGAAATTATTTTACTACATTTATATACACTAAAATCTACCAAAAAAAAGTGATGGGCCAGTAGTTTTTGGCTGATCTTCCTCCTATGACACACCTAATATGTGGTGATGATGGATGGTGTTATATGTAGTGATTATGGATGATGTTATATGTAGTGATGATGGATGGTGTTATATGTAGTGATGATGGATGATGTTATATGTAGTGATGATGGCTGTCGTTATATGTAGTGATGGTGGGTGGTGTTATATATAGTGATGATGGATGGTGTTATATGTAGTGATGCTGGATGGTGTTTTATGTAGTGATGATGGATGTTGTTATATCAAGTGAAGATGGGTGGTGTTATATGTAGTGTGATGATGGATGGTGTTATATGTAGTGAAGATGGACGGTGTTATATGTAGTGATGTTGGATGGTTTTATATGTAGTGATGATGGATGGTGTTATATGTAGTGATGATGGATGATGTTATATGTAGTGATGATGGATGGTGTTATATGTAGTGATGATGGATGGTGTTATATGTAGTGATGATGGTTGGTGTTATATGTAGTGATGATGGGTGGTGTTATATGTAGTGATGTTGGATGGTGTTATATGTAGTGATGATGGATGGTGTTATATGTAGTGATGATGGATGGTGTTATATGTAGTGAAGATGGATGGTGTTATATGTAGTGATGTTGGATGGTGTTATATGTAGTGATGATGGATGATGTTATATGTAGTGATGATGGATGGTGTTATATGTAGTGAAGATGGATGGTGTTATATGTAGTGATGATGGATGATGTTATATGCAGTGATGATGGATGGTGTTATATGTAGTGAAGATGGATGGTGTTATATGTAGTAATGATGGATAGTGTTATATGTAGTGATGATGGATGGTGTTATATGTAGTGATGATGGATGGTGTTATATGTAGTGATGATGGATGGTGTTATATGTAGTGATGATGGATGGTGTTATGTGGTGATGATGGATGGTATTTATAACATAGTGATGAAGTGGATGGTGTTATATGTAGTGATGATGGATGGTGTTATATGCTGTGATGATGGATGGTGTTATACTTGCATGAGTGAAGATGGATGGTGTATATGTAGTGATGATGGATGGTGTTATATGTAGTGATGATGGGTGGTGTTATATGTAGTGATGGTGGATGGTGTTATATGTAGTGATGATGGATGGTGTTATATGTAGTGATGGTGGATGGTGTTATATGTAGTGATGGTGGGTGGTGTTATATGTAGTGATGATGGGTGGTGTTATATGTAGTGATGGTGGATGGTGTTATATGTAGTGATGATGGATGGTGTTATATGTATGAAGATGGATGGTGTTATATGTAGTGATGATGGATGGTGTTATATGTAGTGATGATGGATGGTGTTATATGTAGTGATGATGGATGGTGTTATATGTAGTGATGGTGGGTGGTGTTATATGTAGTGATGATGGATGGTGTTATATGTAGTGATGATGGATGGTGTTATATGTAGTAATCTCAAAAAAACTCCAACCAACCCTATAGGACACAGCCCAGAGGGAAACACCAAGAAAAGTAGTATTCCCTCCTATGATTTACAGCTATTTTGATCCTTGGGTTCTCTTTCATTATGGATTACTTTTCTCTGCATTTACCCTCCATCCGGTACAACACACAGAGGTTGAAAAGTCGTATCCCACCCCACGTATTATAGCTAATTTTATCCTTATGCTGTTTCTCAATACAGCTTACTTTTCTTTGATCTCTAACTTTTCTAGGCTGTCCATTCTAACAAGGTAGGAAGGCAGGTAGGTAGGTAGTCCATTCTAACGAGGGTTGCCAAACGTACGATATTTCACACGGTGGTCTAGCTAAAGAGCCGCCCGGAGGGCGGCGTTTCTGCTATCTATAAATATAAAACAAAGAAGTCTGTCTGTCTGTATGTCCTCAGGAGAATCTTGGAAACTACTTTACAGATCTGTAGTGATGATGGATGGTGTTATATGTAGTGATGATGGATGTTGTTATATGTAGTGATGATGGGTGGTGTTATATGTAGTGATGATGGATGGTGTTATATGTAGTGATGATGGGTGGTGTTATATGTAGTGATGATGGGTGGTGTTATATGTAGTGATGATGGATGTTGTTATATGTAGTGATGATGGGTGGTGTTATATGTAGTGATGATGGGTGGTGTTATATGTAGTAATGATCTATATCTATATAAAACAAAGAAGTCTGTCTGTTTGTCTGTGTGTCCGCACGAGAATCTCGGAAACTACTTTACCGATCTGTAGTGATGATGGATGGTGTTATATTATGTAGTGATGATGGATGGCGTTATATGTAGTGACGATGGATGATGCTATATATAGAATATGAAAAGTATCCCTCTGTTGTCATTGGCAACATGGATAAGAAATGTGAATAATACGGTGCAAAGAAGTACAAAGGAGAATCTGCTGGACTGTGCTGCTCTCATGGGAAAGTACGACTGCCAAATTTGGAAAAAACACCACAACCCTTGAAGACTCTAATGCTGGGAACAACACCAGAGTCAAAACACTTCTTGGAAATTGTACGGAAGTACAATTCATGCTTCCAGATGACATCCTTTGGAGCTACCAGAGTAGTTCGTGAGCACGGATACATGCAAAGTTCCTCCAAATCTACTTCATGGGATATCATGAAAAGCAGACTACTATCAGGTGTGGCAACATTCAAGGTGTCAGACATGACATTGTCCTATCTATCCAAGAAATGCTGCATGAGCGCAACACGTATATACAGTCATTTAAAAATGCCCTGGAAGACACGCCATCTGACGAGTACAAAGTAAGGATCAAAGCAGACACCTTAATGCACTATAGTGAGACAATGTGGAGCCTCCCGGAGGGTGGTGTCCTACCGTGGCCTAGCGAAAGAGCCGCCCGGAGGGCGGCGATTCCTCTGGTACATTAATAAAAACCGCAGAGAGTCACTCCTCTACTTTCTTTCAAGATCTTTTTTTCAAATTACTTCTCATAAGAATATAAGAACGGAGGAAACTGCAGCGGGCCTATTGGGCCATACTGGGCAGTCCCGTTTACTCCCAACCCCTATTTCTCATAAATCCATCCAACCTATGTTTGAAGCTATACAGTGTATTCGAGTTGATGATGATGTTTGGTTCCACTCGTCCACTACTCTATTTCCAAACCAATGTTTACCTATTTAGCGCCTAAATCTAAATTTCTCTAATTTAAAACCATTGTTTCAAGTTCGCTCCTGGTTGGACAGTTTGAGTACCTTTGTAATGTCCGCTTTGTTTAGCCCTGATTTCCATTTATACACCTCTATCATATCGCCCCTCACTCTACGTCGCTCGAGGGGGTGCAAATTAAGAAGTCTTAGCCTATTTCTATACTCAAGGTTCCTAAATGCCCGGGATTAGTCTTGTCATTCTCCTCTGAATTCTTTCTAGGGTTTCTATATCCATTCTGTAGTACGGTGACCAGAATTGAACTGCATAATCCAAGTGAGGTCTCAGAAGCACAATATATAGTTTTAGGATGACCTCACAAGTCTTGTAACTAACACTCCTTTGTATGAAACAGGTACTTTATTGGCCTTGTTTCGAGCAAATACACATTGTTTACTTGGCTTAAGATTCCTACTTACTGTACAGGGTATCATTACTTCTAAATCTTTCTCATAGTCGGATTTCTCTATAACATCGTTGTTCATCTGGCATCTGGTTTCTCTGTTTACATCTCCTAGACTAAGTACTCTACATTTGACCAAATTGAATTTCATCTGCCATTTTTCAGACCATCCGAATTTTTTTTTTAAATCTTCCTATAGTTCTGCGGAGTCCTCATCTATTTTAGTGTCATCAGCAAATTTACTTATGTTGTTGTCTACGACGATAACTATGTCGTTTATATATATATATATATATATATATATATATATATATATATATATATATATATATATATATATATATATATATATATATATATATATATATATATATATATATATATATATATATATTATATATATATATTATATATATATATATATAATAAATAATAATGGTCCAAGTTCCGAGCCTTGGGGTACTCCACTAGTGACGTTACTCCAATCGGATTTTTTTGTGCAGTTAATGCTCACTCGCTGTTTCCTGTCCTGTAACCACGCCCTAATCCATTTTAGAATATCTCCTCCAGTGCCATGAGTCTCCACTTTTCTTAATAATCTTTCGCGGGGGACTCTCTACTCTAAGCCTCATGACATTTCCTACCATCTTGCTAAAACTACGTATTTATTAGTTGTAGTTGAACATACAGTATGTTTCCTTCTCAAGCCACCTTCCTGTGGGGCTTAACTGAGATTTTTCAGTTATCATGGACATTCCCTTATTCGATAGCACTTATTGAATATGTCTGCCATTTCCCTCTTTCTCTTAACCGGGTATGTTAAGAATGTACTATTAATTTTCATATATTATTTTTTCTCATTCCATATTCTATTAATTATTTTAATGAAAAAAAAAACACCATCCTCTATATTAAAATTGTATTATAATTTTGGGTACCGGAGAGATCTATCACTCCTTGTTTTTATTTCAAAATACTGTACCTATAACCGTTGGCCTTCCAGACTTCATCCTCATAATGGTGTGTACACTTCCTTTATATATCATCTACACCTGAGCTTTTAATAAAAAAAATATAACAATATTTCATTCAGTAATTTTATATAATATCAACCAACCATTTTTAGTACGTTTTCAGGTAAAAATAAAAGATTAGGAATAATTATATGACAAGGTTGTTTCTTATTACAGTTACCTTTTCAAAGAGCTCGATGCAGGCCTGCAGATCCATACCGAAGTCTACGAAGACCCAGTTGATGCCTTCCCTCTTGTATTCCTCCTGCTCCAGCACAAACATGTGATGGTTGAAGAACTGTTGCAGCTTCTCGTTACAGAAGTTGATGCAGATCTGTTCAAACCCATTATGCTATGTGGAAAAGACAAGGACATAAAATGTTCCTTTGTGGAAACCAAGTTTAAGCACAGTTTGTATTCTGAAAAGGTCAGTACAAATCTTGGTAAATATTGGTAAGAACAATTAAAAATTTTCTTAAGAGTTAATTAGTCGAAAATAATATATTTTATGAAATATGAGGACTGCAGACAATAATTTTCAATTCAATTCCTTACGTCGAATATCTCGAAGCCAGCTATGTCGAGTACACCAATGAAAGTGGCCCTCTTTAAACCGGTCTCAAGAATCTTGTTACATTTTGTAACTAACCACTTGAACACGCGGTCGAATAAACCCTTCGCAAGAGCTCCGACGGAATAACTGCACTGACTCAAGTTCATGCCTTTTGCTACGAACTCTGCACCGACCTTGATCTTGGGTTTGGCAATGTTCCTGTACAGGTCGGTACCGTCAGCACCCAATAGTTTTCCAACAATATTACCAACCTATAGAAAAAAAGAAAAAGAAGGTGTAATGAAGACATAAGTAAACCAACTCTACTTTTTATGACAAATCCAATGATCTTGCTGATATTGGGTGGTCGGAGAACATTTAAATCTGATGTATCATTTAAGTACGTAGCTTATGTCACCCATTGTTGCATGATTTCACGATTACTAAATTTTATTTTTCACCTCAGTACCGTCGGGTTCAGCCTGCTCCTCACGACCTCTCTGTTTAAACTTCATGTTACCGAAGTGCATGACAGCGGCGGTGATCTTATACACATCCTCAACTTCCTGCCTGGCAAAGCCCAGTATGTCGAATGCATCCTGGATTGGCGAGAAAATCGACGCATATTGGACCATCATCATGAACAATGCAACTAAGGAGACAGAAAAATGCTACCTCACGAGAGTGTGTATAGGAAAACGGTGATTTCATTTTCAATTTATATAAAAGAATATTGATCTCCAAGGAAAAACAGACATAAGAATTCAACACCAATTTAGAGAAAGGAATATTACTTAGTAAATATTTTTAATGATATGGGAAGGCGTTTGATTGATTTTCGATATTGAAATAGATAAAAAGAAGATGAAACTTAATTGAGAATGAATTTTTCACTTCCTAAACCCGAGACAGGCACCAGTTATAAAGTTTTAAGAAAAATTAAAATATAGAGATGATGATGAAATACTTATACTAACATCGCTATTATTCACGTGAACCCTAAATTTAAAGCATATAATTCCAACAGAAAATATAACCTAGAAATAGTAGAGGAGGAGGAAGGTTAGAGGAACTGTGGAAATTAAAAAAAATATATATATTAGTTTATATACTTCTTTAAAACAGCTCATGTGAAGTAAACTAGGTTTAAATAGTGGTCACGAAACAAGTTGAGATACTTAACGCGTTGCAAAGGGATGAGGGTAAGTTTATTGGCAAAAGAAACTGTTAACAGTAATAAAATCTCTTATCTATAATAAATCAATGTTTGACTCATGTTATGGGTAGGATGTTGTTAATAGTCTTGGTAATACATCGATATCTCTGCCTTCGTAAAATTCCAACAGGTACACTCACGTGACAGAACTGCATGTCCTCGCCGTCATCAATGGAAGGCACAGTGACCTTGCCCTGGGACACGTAGTGATAGTCGTAAATATCATCACTCAGGCAGCACAGAGCTGTAAAGAAATACATATCAAAGAATAAAGATTATTTTAACTCCGTAATAATTGTGTATTTGAGGTAGGTCATTCACATACTTTCCAGCTTCTAGTAATAATACCAATGTCGTTCTATTTTATAGGTCCATATATAACAGATGAAATACTTACGCTTGATCTCCTTAATCTGGTCGGACATCATCTCGTAGAAGATATGGTAGGATCGCTCGGCGGGCTGCTGAGAGATGACACGAGCCTTCTCCAGCAGGTAGACCTCAATATCAGCACCGGACAGCTTGCCATTGGGTTGGAAGTGGATACGGATGAACTTACCCTGTGGAAGAGGATTGCTAGATGGTCATAGATCAATTCACAGATATACCTAGAGCAAAACAAATACCTTTAATCAGAATTTTAGGTAAGGATAGTTTGACAAGCTTATTCTATGTAAAAGAGGCTGCTAATTAAAACAAAAAAGTTTTATTGACCCCACGTAAGACAAAATTGCCATTTTGGCCACTTTTCGGCGATATTGTACCATGTTTGGCTAAATTATCATTGTCCGTGTTTGGACGTTTTGATGATGTACATATATGTTTAAAGGACATTGATTCACATAAATATAAGTTGTTTATACAATAATTAAAGTATAAGTGACCAATATTGACCAATTCTGGCAAGTTTTCGACCAACATTGGCCAAATGTGCAATTCCATGGTAAGAACAGATTGCACATATCACAGTCATTTTATACAATACACTACATAAAATGGTATGGGATATTTACTATGTGTGTGTAAAATCTGGCCAATCTGGCCACATTTGATAAACTCTCAGTTTCTAGTACTAATGTGTGTGTTTTCGTTGCAAATGGATAATGGTATAAAGATGGCTTTGCAGAGTGTGCTGCATGTGAGCGGTGATACAGAACATGATGGTAATGTAGTTACTCCATTTACTGAACAGACATGGAGAAGAGCTGGGGATATAACTCAAGTCAGAAAACATTATCAGAAGATATCAAATACCATGCTGTATGTGAATCCCTTAACTTTGAAGCTGGACCACTTCCTCATTATGGCTTTCATAGTGGTTGCAACAGTAAATTTGCGGCTTATCAGATACTGTCGAAGGAAAAGAAAATTTGTTCTTATGATATTGTTGAAAAAAGATCTATGGTGGGGAGACCACCAGAGACAACTGTTTCAACTACTGGAGTGTTGGTGAAAAATTTGTATTTTCTGTAACGGTCCGGACCGCAAGCTTTGAAACACTCTCCATGTGAGGCTATGCAGCACAGGACAGTATTATGAATACTGCAAAGCAATTGTAAGACATTAACTTCCTTCGTGAATATGGACATATTGAATTCATAGCTAAGGAAGTTAAATACCATAAAGCATGCAGAGCAAGGAGTATTTCTAAGGGTGCCAAGGCTCAAGGAAAACGAAAATGTGCAACAGTTGCCTCATCGTCAGGGCATATCAAGACAACAACAACAATGACAACACTTCCAATTTCTGTGAGCAAGAGAAGCAAGAGAAGTCTTGAAATACTAAATCCAGAACTAGAACCAGTAAGAAAAAGACATATGGTATCAAACTTTTCCTTTGATATACAAACAATAGACAAGCCTGTAAACTACAAGGCCTGTCTTGCCAGAGATGAAGCATGGACAATATTTTGCAAAACGAACATACACCAATGTGGTCTTGCTTGAACGCTACAATAACCAAAGATGATTTTCCAGCTCAGAGGAAAGGGTACTTGGCAAACATCGGTGCCCTTCCTACACGGCATGATGTAGTTAATGAAACATTGAAACGAAACGTGACCCTTGCTGAAGAGTGTAAGGAACATTGCATTGCAATAACCTATGACCTGGTTATAGCCAAGCTAGTTTCCCAGTTGTAAGACACTGTGCAACCTAAGTATGACAATATCTTTATTTGTTTCGGGGCTTTCCATATTATGTTCCGCTCTCTATCAGCAGTAGAGTAACTCGTAAATGGTTCAGGTGCGGCACACATTTTAATAGAAAGTGGTGCTCTCACTAGGGTTCCCTCATTACTTTTCTGGCAGGAAAACACTATAATCAGTCAAGAAGATTGCACAATGCACATGCTCCTTGCAACTGCAACATGGAACAAGCATATGGGCTTGTTCTTGCAACTGGATGAGGTATACGATAGCTATGAATATTTGGTTGAAGCCCTGAAGACTGTCAAGAATCACCATCCCCTGAGAGGACGAAAGATTTGGAAGAGACAGGTGAGTACATAACATTCATGATCACCAATGAAAGTTTCTGCGATGATACCAGAGCTGGCAAACATGGTGTTAAATCCACAGTTCTGGATGAACTACATTTACTTGATTGATATATACAAGTTGTTCAGAAGAGCTGTACGAACAAATGATATGGACCTTTTCATCTTCTTGCTTGGGAAAATGATTAACATTGTCTTTGCTGCATACCTCCACAATTATTCAACTACATGTGCTTGTACTATCTGAGACTCATGAACATGGGATACCACCCATCCTGGCATTAGGCAACAACTTGAACGAGGTGGTTTATCTGTGAGATTGTCATCCAATTCCTTTGTCAGACAACCCGTGGATCAAGCACTAGAGAGTACAATCAATGCAGATGCATCTTCACGACAAACAGGAATCACCGCTTCCCATCAAATTCAAGGAACAACCAGACGCTGGACAGTTACTAGATCAGCCAGAAGCGTCATAGTGAGGCAACTGTTTGAAAAAACATCATTAAAGAAGAAGAAGAATCCAAGCCATGAACTAAGAAAGTCAAAGATGAGTAAATTTCAAAGACACTTGGAAGACATTTAAAAATGATTGAGACAACTATGAATCCTTTTGTTGAGTCCCTGCTTGAGGACATCACTCTGTATTGCCTAGCAGATGATAAGAAAATGCTAGATGAAGTGAAAGAGGACAAGCTAAATCTCTTTGTTTTTTGAAACAAGTGGAAAAATGAGTTCTTCCAAGAATGCTTAAAGGATCCTACAAGGTTTGAAACACCACCCCAGAGATGAATTGTGATAAACTTTGCCAGTGCTGCTATCATGAGCAAAGTACGAGGTAAAGATGAAAAGGATGTTGTGCTGAAGACAACACGGGACTTGCTAAGCAGATTAGTCTATCCTGCTTATACCAGAAAGATTGCGCTTGAAAAGGTGTCTCCTTTTCCACTTACCCCAGTTCCCCTCTCTTTGGCCAGTATGTATGGCACGATGAAAGAGACACCAAAATACAAACTCTCCAAACACCTTGCAGATTTCTTTACACACACAAAGCCAACAACAGTTAATACAGTTCGTTATGATGCCATGTTTATAATCCAGTCACCTTCCTATGACTTGCCTCTCATTTTTGGAAATGCATCGGAACTGGTCCTGAAAATCATATGTAGTGCAAAGGCACGTAAAGTACACGTTGTATGTGACAGTTATGTGAAAAACATAAAGAATGTTCAGCAATAGGCAAAACGTGAAAATGATGGATCATTTCACATAACTGGCGCAGATCATTTACGTCCTAAAGATTTCAGATATGCCTTGAGATCACCAAATTTTAAGACATCACTTATTAAGTTTTTCATGGAGGAATGGAAAGAAAACAAATATGCAGATATCATAAAGCAAAAGACATTTGTTGTTGCACATGAGCAGCAACGTCTTCAGTATACAGAAACTCTATCAGGAAATATCGAACATAGTCAGACACCAGAGTACGAATGCTCACACGTGAAAGCCGATACACGGCTGGTGTACCATCTCAGTTTCTTGTCAAAAAGTAATACCAGGACAAAATGTTGTTGTCCGTGCAACAGACACTGACATCATGGTCATCCTTCTGTATCATGCCAGACAGCTCGGGACGAATGTGTGGATGGATCTTTGACATAGAAGCTATGCCCATATCACTGGACTAGCAAACCACCTTGGTCCACTTCTCTACAAAGCATTGCCTGACTACCATGCTCTTGAAGGCCTTGGCAGTCTTGAAGAGAAAACCACCTTTGTTGATGGCGACAGCCTTATAGAAAGACTCATGTGTTCACTCTACGATCAAGGAGCATTATCATCCCGGAATGAGGCCAGGCTGAAATTTTTTCTACAGAAATACAAACCGACCGATCCAGATAGTACACTGGAGACATAAAGGGAATTGATGCAGGTATGCTTCCACCCTGCAAAGATGTTCTGGTGCAAAAACTGGCACGGTGCAACAACGTGACATATCTCTGGAAGCATGCGCATGTAAGATATCCACTAGAGAACATTGAACCCGCAGATCATGGCCGGGAAGAGGTTAATGGAGTTTTTCTACCACTCTGGTCTACTGGCAGTCAGAGGCCATCTGTGCTTTCTGACACCATAGAATCAGAAGATGTTGCAGATGGATATGGAGATGATGATGACGAAGACAATGATAGTATTACTGATGCTGATTCAGAAGATGATGACAGTGATGATGATGGAGATGAAAATTACGATGCTTACGTTTCAAAATCATCATATGATTACCGTTATAGACTCTGCTTTTCATAGAGTGTAACTGAACTCCCTGATGTTTGAATATTTGTTAATTCAAAATGTATGATTTGCTTAGTGCTTACTGCACCGTACAGTATATAAGTTATGCACTATATCTGGTTAAATTAACATTAATAAGAACAAAAAGCCCTTTTGTGTTTTATGTCGATATTTGGCATTATAATTTTGATTTCCATACATTTTTACATGTTGTTTACGTCGAGTACAATTTTATTAATAATCCTATGGAAAAAATGGTTTTGACCAAAAGCTGACCAAATCTGACCAAATTTTGGCCACATTAATCAGGCTATTATTCCTTGGCCACAAAATAGTAGTGCAAAATATTCAGGAGCTCATTAGATACAATATCATAACACCATTCCACCCTTTCAATAATCTCTGATTTTGGCCAGACTTGGATAGAAAGTGGCCAAAATAGCTGTTTTGTCTTACATGGGGTCAATAAGTCTGTTTTTTTTTATCAACACCTTTTTGTACATAGAGTAAGCTTGTCAAACCGTAATTACCTAAAATTCTGATTAAAGTCCTCTATCTCTTAGACTAGACTACAACATCCACGAAAGAGGAACTAGTACCAAGTTTAAAGAGATCTCGAGTCAAATTACATAGTTAATATATCAAGAAAAAATTCAATCGTTAACACGTTCGCTTAGACAAATATTGTTTAGTTCAACTTATGAAGACTAGTCACCAAAGGCCGATTATAAACATTTTGAACTTTTCCCAGGGAGTGAGATATCCACCGTTGTGTCTCTAGGTGTGAGGTATTTTCATAAAAATTATATGCTTACGAAACGGGAGGAGTTGTCGTTACGGGTGGTCTTGGCGTTACCGAAGGCCTCCAGTACAGGGTTGGTCTGGATGATCTGGTCCTCGAGGTTCTGTGGAGAACAAGAGATATGTTAATATAACGTCATCTTGAGTGTGAGTAATAAGGTAATTATAGCCATTTGAAGGCGAGTTATGCTGAAGTTAAAGAGAATACTAAGCTAATTGTGCTCGAAAAAAAAATGGTCAACAAATATGCATGTAAGTGGAGCTTAGCTTGGTGTCAATTAGTACAACGTTTTTTTTTTTTTTTGGTGGGGGGGTATACAGTAGCCCACCCAGGTATAGGTCATCGACCCAATGGGCCTGAAGGGGGGAATAAAGTAAAAATTAAAATTGGAGGAGAAAAAGAGTATGTTAATCTACACCACGAAGATGCCGGAAAACCAGCTTTTTGAAGCGAGAGAGAATGTAAGAGGAAGTAAACACAAAAGAAGGCAGAGCATTTCACAGTTTGGCTGTGTGGGGAAAGAAAGAACTACCATAACGTGTTATTCTAGAGCGACCGACATTCACACAGAAACGGTGGGCACCACACCAAAGATGAGTGTTACGAACCCACTCCTTTGCCGGCGGTACACAGAATGCCAAATCCACCGAACATTGCCCTTTAAAGTACCTTTAAAAGAGAGAGAGAGTGCAGCAACATTGCGGCGAAGAGAAAGGGAAGAGAGATTATTGACGAAAGGAGGAGAGTTAGTAAGACAAAAAACCTTTGATTTCACTCTACCTAAAAGTAACAGTTGGGCAGAAGAAGAGCCACCCCAGATATGAGAGCAGTAATCCAGGATGGGACGAATAAATCCCTTATAAACATGAAACAACTGCTCAGGAGTGAAGAAGCTACGGCATTTGTACAGCATTCCCAGCTTTCGGGAGGCAGCTTAAGCAATGTTGTGGATGTGTGGCTTCCATGAAATATTGGAATAAATGGTGAGGCCTAGTATAATCTACTGTAGAATTTGGCAGAATGATTGCGTCCTGAAATGTGATTGGTAAATACTGTGCTTTTTTACTATTGAATTTGCTCAAATTTCTACCTCCCCATTCGGAGATGCTGCACAGATCCGCATTGAAAGAAGAAACGATATCAGCTCTAGAAACAGATCTAGTTTGAGAATTAGGAGGAAGGGAAAAATGAGAAGAGTGAAGAGTAGAATCATCAGCGTAGGAATGGATAGAATTAGTCGTAGTGTGAAGTAAATCATTAACAAAAAGGAGGGAGAGGGTAGGTGACAGGAGAGATTCCTCGACAACAACTGGCATCGATCGGTTATAACCAAACAGTAAAAAGATACATACATAAATTTTCAATTATTTTTATATGATAAACCAATATAAAGTCTATGATTTGTATACCGAATATTTAAATTTAGAAAACAAAAATCTTACGGGTTTTTCTGCCTCGCCCTTCTTGGCGGTGGCACCGACGTTAGCAAAGTAGGAGAGTACCTTCTTGGTGTTCTCTGTCTTACCAGCACCAGACTCACCGCTGTAGTGGTAAAGACATCTATATTGCCAAGAGGAAATAACAATAATACTATGTTAATATGGGGATATGTGGATGGATGTCAGGTGAAAATCCTAAGGGCCACTTGACAATGAAGATATACATTAGGTTGTTATAGATAAAATCTCACACATGACAAGTACTTAAAGGAACTTAAATACAACAAAATAGGAACATTAACCCGGAATAACACAAGTAATCATATTTTGGTGTAAGGAAGCTTGTACTGATATTGTGTACTTAAGGTTTGTGAAGTCAACCAAACTGTTTGTCGTAAGTCATTATAATCTGAACTATCAATAGAAAATTAAGTAAACTTACGTGATGAGCATCGATTGATTTTCGGAAACTGAAAGAGAAACAATAAAATGTAAATGCATTTTTAAATTCTGCCCCTTCAGTGCCTTAATCCATTCATGTAAACTTATAAATTGTTCATTGAGAATATGTCAAGATTTTGTTTTTGCTCAGTGCAGGAACACCGACAATGGCATAGTCAAGTAACAGTCTCCATACGATCATAAATGAGATAGTGAACTGGCGAGACGTTGGAAGAATTCTAGTACACGCTTGTTTAGACATGACATTTGAAAATACATATTACTCGATTATTTAGCAAAACAAAATAACTAACCAGATTAATGCCCATGATTTGGTTTCACTTACAAATAAGATTCAGGTTACACAGTATGTTAAAGTGAAAGCAATTGTATAATTGGATCATCACTTTCTCTGTGAACTACACATACCAAAGATACTCACGCTGCAACATATCCATATAGGCACCGTCGGCGATAGCGAAGAGGTGAGGAGGCACTTCATTACGCCTCTTACCCTGGTAGATCTTGACCGTACGGTTGGTGTAGATGGGGTACCGCTTGTAGGGGTTGATGGCGATACAGAAGAGACCGGAGTAGGTGTAGATGAGCCTGTTGACGTAACGGGTCTTCAAGTTGTACAGGACTGAAGGGTCGTTAAGGAAGGTCAAGTTGGACATATCTTCGCATTTTTCGTACTTGGGAGGGTTGACCTGCTGCACGAGGTCTTTCTTCCAGTTCTTGGTCTCACCGCCGGCACAAACGGTGACAAGGTCGCCTTTGGTGCAGTTAATCTCACCCTCGACGAAGCCTACCTTAGGATCAGGGACCCAGCAGGACTTCTTGGAGTCATAAGGTTTGGTGGCATCCTTCATCTTCATCTCCATAGAGATGAACAAGAACTCGGTGGGGTCAGGGTCGGGACCTGTGCTCTTCGTAACGTGGCCGGGCATATTGGTGGTGGGTACAAAAACTTTCGATATGAGGATAACCGCGGTTAGGGCTTTTCCTGAAAAGCAATGACTTTTCATATAAAGGGAACAAATACAGTATATCCCCGAGCACCCGCTGGCATAAATTAAATTCAGTTGATATCTGAACAGGCAACTTTATAAAAAATCTGTAAGACGGGCGTTAGGTAGGAGGCTTAACATTTCTTTGTCCTGACCAACAAATTCTTTGAAATGAAGGCAGCAGGAACATCATCATTAGATTGCAGGTGTATTAATCATGGATAATATAAAAAAATAATAATAATGTAATAATAATAATAATAATAATAGTACCATTATCATGAATAAAATACTGTTGACGAACTTCGGTAACTGCATCATATATATCTTTTCAAAACACTGTTTAAATTAGTAAAAGCACGATACACAGTGAAGAAAATAATGTTTGCCTCTTAACAAGTAGATTGTATTTAGATATTTAATCGAAACATAGGCATAGTGATTTTATAAAAATTATGTTAGACAATATGACACAACGGTTGAAGGATTTTGACAACCCTACCGAGACAACAGGAGTCACAGTGTTCATTCTGAAATTCATTGACCCTTCCCCAGTAAAGACAGTATTTTGAGCGACTGAACAAAATTGAATCACTTGAAAATTTTTTACACAATATAATACTGCTTGTTGGAGAATCAATAACCAGCAGATGAACGTTTTTAGAATACACTAAAGTCTTCGAAAGTGTGTTATTGATAACCACTGTTACTGTATTTCACAGACTTAAACAATTGTTGCAACACATCATTAAATTTGAAGTGGTGTTATAATTTAGGATAAAAGATGAGGTGGTAAAAATTTCAACAAAACCTGAATAACAGCATAGATCCCGAAACCAATCATCCATGTTAATAAGAAATTATGTATCCCTTAAAAGAGGGAAGCATCACCCACGTGTAAGAAGTTTTCAACATAATGCACAGTTTCTTCCACAACATCAAAGTTCTTCTGATTCCTCAAACCCGGCCACTAATTTAACCATCACAACGCCTTATTATCTTTGTGATTAGTCATACGGTCATTTAATCACAGGTGCTTATCCTGATGACCGTGTGATTGTATAGAAGGATTAGCCTATAGGACAGTACATAATTCACTACACATACAACTCTCTCCACGCAACTCACACGAACACGACCCTCTCACAGCACCCCACCACTAGACAAGTGAAGAGAGGCTGCTCAGGTGGGTCCCAAGGTAACTTACACCAACAAGGTAAGGCGTAAGTAGAACAGTAGAAGTCACCATGGCCTTAGACTAAAAATACATTACGGCGGCCACTGGGAACAGCGGAATGTCAGGACGCAGCTTGTGTGAGAGGGCTCGTACTCTGATCACCTCTCGCCGCGCCCTGGGACTGTATATGTCTCACTCTGTTTTTATTTTTTATCCCTATTTTTCGTTATAACGAAACATATACTGTGTGGAACTACGCATAATTCAGGATAGCCTATTGTTTCCGTGACTTTCCACACCATTTACGATTCTTGCTTCTTTTGCTGCACGACATACGTCGTAGTGCACTAATATCTAGTGTGGTTACTTTGTACTGAAGCGTTTGCTTACATATCTTCTATATCATATATATATATATATATATATATATATATATATATATATATATATATATATATATATATATATATATATATATATATATATATATATATATATATATATATATATATATATATATATTAGGGTGGTCCAAAACTATATGGTAAAAAATATAAGTAGTAATATATTGCCTCCACAAGCCTTAAAATTGTCCATTTGGTTCATAGATAAGGTCTGTAAAATTTTATCCATATTCATTAACATTTAGAGGTCAATCCATTTTGCATATTATACTTGTAGTGTAGGACTGAATTTTCTTGTCCGCATGATACAGTCTTAATATACACAACACATTATATTGGGTATATTTCAATGTATATAGCCTAGTTGCCTATTTGGAAAGGGCAAAGAGTCAAGTATTGAGTCATAGGGACTGACAATGACAGGTTGAAACAGGAAACACAGACAAGGGTTACCATTAATCAGATGAAGTTACTTATTTCATTTATATCTCATCAGTTCTACAATTATTTCATTATCAATCTAAATAGTATATTATGCTGAATAAAGACAATGTGTTTATAATGTGTTTATCTAGCCCCGAAAAATCCTTATTACGTACTAAATGGAAAAAAAGAGGACATTGGATTGACCTCTAAATATGCTTTAAATGATCCAATTTTTTTCTGGGATGCATTTTGTACCTAATGGACAAAAATAAACCTTGTGGAGAAAACGTATACAAATATGTGATATTTTGGACCACCCTAATATATATATATATATATATATATATATATATATATATATATATATATATATATATATATATATATATATATATATATATATATATATATATATATATATATATATATATATATATATAAAGAGTAGTTCCTTTATGTATTTTAGTTCAATATCCAAGCTCTGGTGGTGTCTAGCAAATCCTCCTCTCTATGTACTCAAGTATAAGGGCTATCGAGGTTCCGTGACTCTGTGGCTGCCTTTAGTTACGGGGATATCTGTAGGAATGAGGAAGTGTCTATGACATACACCCGTCAACCTTGCCTTTATAATGGCTGACAGCAGTTTCTCTGGGAATACTGAAGCCCTTGTACCATACCCGGAAAGTCTCTACACTCGACTGCTTGATATATTGTTCGGCTTGGCGAGTGTACGGATGGTGAGGGTGGTGGGGTGAGAATAATAGATGGAGGGCTGAGTGGTTAGGGTAGTGGACAGAGGGCTGGGTGGTTAGGGTCGTGGGTGATGAGGATTGAGGGTGTTATCGGTCGTGGGTAGAGGGCTGGGTGTTGAGGGTCGGGGGTAGAGGGCTGGGTGGTGAGGGTCGTGGGTATAGGGCTCGGGGGTGCAGGTCGTGGGTAGAGGGCTGGGTTGTGAGTAGAGGGCTGGGTGTTGAGGGCCGGGTGGAGGCTGGGTTTGAGGGTCGCGGGTAGAGGGCTGGGTGGTGGGGGTCGGGTCGAGGGCTGGGTGTTAAGGGTCGTGTAGAGGGCTGGGTGTTGAGGGTCGTGGGTAGAGGGCTGGGTGTTGAGGGTCGGGGTAGAGGGCTGGGTGGTGAGGGTCGTGGGTATAGGGCCTGGGGGGTGCAGGTCCAGAGGGCTGGGAGTAGAGGGCTGGGTGTTGAGGGCCGTGGGTGGAGCACTGGGTTTGAGGGTCGCGGGTAGAGGGCTGGGTGGTGGGGGTCGGGTCGAGGGCTGGGTGTTGAGGGTCGTGTAGAGGGCTGGGTGTTGAGGGTGGGTAGAGGGCTGTGTTGAGGGTCGTGTGTAGAGGGCTGGGTGTTGAGGGTCGTGTAGAGGACTGGGTGTTGAGGGCCGTGGGTGGAGCGCTGGGTTTTGAGGGTCGCAGGTAGAGGGCTGGGTGTTGAGGGTCGTGTGTAGAGGGCTGGGTGTTGAGGGTCGTGGGTAGAGGGCTGGGTGTTAAGGGTCGTATGTAGAGAGCTCAGGGTCGTTCAGGAAGGAGGCAGGGATCACCTGCCACCCTTCCTCGTGTTATTTTCAGCGCGTCGTTTGTCTGGTGACAATGGTCTCGTGTTCACCTGTGACGCCACTCCCGCCACGTGTGTGTCTGCCCCCACAAAAATTGGCTTGTACTCATTTGTTTATATACAATTGGAGACCAAACCTACCAGATCTCACTGCTGTCCGGAGCTGGCAAGATTATCGCCCGAGTCCTCCTAAGCAGACTTCTTCCAAAGACGAAAAACTTCCTCCCAGAATATCAATGTGGTTTTAGACCATCACGTGGCACCATTGACATGATCTTTGCTGTCCGTCAGATACAGGAAAAATGCAGATAACAGAGTCGTTACCTGAACATGGCCTTCATCGACCTAACCAAGATCTTTGACTCGGTCAACGGGAAGCCCTTTGGTGGACCCTCAGCCGTTTCGACTGCACACCAAAATTCATCGCCATTATGAGGCAACTGCACGATGGCATGAACGGCAGTGTCCCGCACAATGGCACCCAGTCTGACTTCTTCCCCCCTCTGGTTCAGCCACACCTCCACCATCCATCCACATTAACGGCACTATCCTCTCTAATGTTACCTACTTTCCAGAGCGCACCCAACCTTCATAGTGAGCGGACGTGCTACGCGTCTCTCCCTGCTCAGTTCAAATTGCTGACCGTTACGACTGTCTGCCTTGTTTTTCGCGTTGGGTCCGTTCTGACTGCTTTATCATGTAGTTGTACATGGATATCATTATTCTTGTACACTGCGCTTCTTCCCTATCCTATCCTTTCGCCTAGAGTCCCTGCTGTTTGGTAACGACGCGAATCCTGCGGGCAGAGCCTCAAGGGGGGCCCTCAGAGGGCTGCTGAGTCGAGACAGTAAGGGTGGCAACATTTTCTGTTAGGGATTCGGCAGTGCTTCATAACCTGTCACTGTTAGGTCTTAGGGCTTGGCTAGGCCCCCGTCAGGGGATTGTCTGTTCACCTACCCCTAGACCCGTCTTTACTCGCCCAGCAAGCGGACAGAAGGAGCGGCACCCATGGGGTTTAGCTGAGGTGGACAGATTAGGTAGGATTTTCATTCATTCATTCATGTATGTTACTGACCATGGCCAAAGTGAGAGTGAAGATCTCCGGAACCCCGACCCAGGGGTCTCGGATAGGGCTAAAAAAGCTATTGAGCAACCTAAGGGTGAGAATAAATAGACTTGTGGATCTGAGAGATGGCTACATCATCCTCACAGAAACAGATGAAGATGCTGATAAACTACTTAAGTCTAGTGCCATGGACAAAATGAAAACTAACGGTTACGAGGTCATTGTCCCACGGGAATACGGAGCCAAACTCACCCTTGTATGTAAGAAGTGAGACAAAGATGTAGTGGAAAATAACGCAGAAGAAATAAGAGATGAAATACAAAAGCAAAACAATGTCAAGGTTGTGGAGGTGTATCCTATGTATGCCCATAATATAATCAAGGTTCGCTTTGCAGACACAACGGATGCAAAAAGAATGAAGGAGAAGGGGCTCTATGCATATGGCACTTCCATCTCATCACACCAAATAGAATATGAAAAGTATACGCCCATCCAACAATGTATGAAGTGCTATAAATACAATGACCACATGACCAAGAACTGCCCCCTGCAAGGGGTCATATGCTCTGAGTGTTCATCTGATCAACACTTCTACAAAGACTTGTAATGACTGAATATTAGACCAAAGCTTACAGCCCAGAATTACATAACATAACAGCAAGTACAGTACAGACCGCGTGGTACCCTAACACCACAGGTTGACACACCACAGGTCAAGACCTGACCCCGGCCTAAGTACTTGCGTAATCCTACGATATAACCGTGTTAAGGAAATTACACCTGGCCAAGACCCACCCCGGCGGTAATAATTACAAAGCACTATTGTCCTGCGACATGACCTCACCTGGGCAAACACCTGTCCAGACCTGACCCAAGGGAGATCAAGGACCCGCTAATCAGCCAGCACCCCTGTTACCCAACCAATAACCCGGTCAAGACACACCCACTTAAGTAGGAGAGGTCACCCTCCGGCTCCTCCAATATATAGGGGCTGGAGCTCCTCTCACCAGGAGAGTCTGATAACCAAGGAAGGCCATCAACCACGTCCCCTGTCCCGCTCATCAAAGAAGTCCGTCACTAAAGGCAAAGAGGTCTCCGCCGGGTCCATCGACAGAGTGCTGTCAATTCAACGTATAACAGTAAGTGCTGGCTGTGTAGGCGGTAGAAGTGCAGTGATCCCGAACCTTCCAACGATCGACTTAGTGAAGTGCCCATTTGACTTGTGAAGTTAAACTAACATACCATAGTCTATCATACCCCGTGTACGAAGCCCCCCCATTAATTCCCCCTATGCAACTAGTAAAATAAAGCTGTAACACGCAGTTGTGTTTTATATACTACACTTGTACTGGGCCTGTGTTAATATACGTAGTCTCCCCCACACCCTCGAGACACGCTACCAAACTTCCTGTCTTTACATCCTCCTGCTATAAATATTCTACCAATATGTCATATCCTCTTCTGGTGAGTTTTGTCTCATTACAGACTGCCGTAGCACCATAAAAAAAGTATGTCGTCTGTGAGGGTGCCCACAGGACCTTCTCTGCCACCTGCCTGGTCAGGAAACAGGTACTTCAAGAAACA